GGCAAGGAAGATCGTGTTGCTGAGACTGCTCAGTACGGATCAATAAGCTGAAGTGGTATACGGCCGGCGTAGGCAACCGACAGGGAAGAAAAGTTCTCGAGAGACTGCCTCATTCCAGCAAGCGAAGTATAGGGCGGCTCGCTACGAAATGGAGGAAGTCTATGGATGCAGGTGATTAAGGATCGTATTTTGTGGCGTTAAGCCGTGGTAGCTCAGATGGTTAGCGCTCGGTGTAAATTTCAAAGTACGCGAGCAAAGTTCGCCACCACGCATTGAGTCCCTCAGAAATGAGACGAGGCCTATACCTAGTAGTTAAACGTAAATAGGTTGTAACTTTGTGGCGATACTTGTATTTCCATTCGATTCTCTGAAGATTTATCTGTTTTTATTAAGCATTATTTATTTGTATTAAATACTATAATGTCCGTGTTTCACTCATTTTCCTCGCGGAAGCAAACAAAGGTAGAGCTTTTCAAAAACGTTGATACACATATAACTGCCTAAAATACGTTCCATTAACTTCGAATTAAGCCTCGAGATAATCGATAAGTCGAAACAAGCAATGTCAATATATCTTTTTGGTAGTAACACAAAACTGCTTATAACTTTGTAATGGCTCATATCAAACTTTGACATGATTCATATTTACAGGGTGGTGAGAGTCTGTATTTGATTGGCTCCACCTTTTACCTCCCCAATTTTCTTCCTTAAGCGACAGCACCCCTTTGCTGTGTTGCGGTTTGAAGTTTCCGGCTGAAATAAATAAATAAATAAATAAGATATTCCGTATAGTCTTCGGGATGACAAAGCATTGGCCTTCTCTGTACAACACGTTTACAAGTGTCTACGAGCCGTAGCTGCCATTTACCAGTTAGACCCCGCTTCGAAAACGGTAAATTGGTTTGGAAGCAACTACTAGTGTACCTACTCCGGGACAAGAAACAAACCTGTTGAAGCTCTTTTAGACTTCCCGGTCGTCTACTGAAGCATCTATAACTTTCGGTTATGGATGCTTCAGTATCTAAGTATATGACTGTGTAGTAGAAAAAGAGCCCAAAAACAAGTCCCGTAATTATGACAGCGACGAATTCACGACACAGAATACAATAGAGTATGCCGGATTTCGTTGAACAACAAATGATCTTCCCTACAGTGGAGGATGACTTTCTCAGCTCCTCATCCCAAATAATTAATGTCTACACGTTCGACACAAAGCCGTTCGTTCTGTTATGGTGTTGTCCAACGTCGTCTTAGGCCATACCGGGGCCCTTAGGCACACAAGAATTTGGGGCCCTATTAGAACGTAAAAAAAGTGAATGACAAAACATTTTTCTGCTATGATCTTATATTTATTATAGTTAATTGGTAAAAATCAAAAAATATGTCATTAATCCACAAGCGCATCCACGACTTTTTCTGCCACCAGTTCGGCGCCACTTTACAATGAGGACAAATATTTGACAGATTTCATAGCGGGGACGATATTTTCTTAGGAAAATTTAAACTTTAATTTTTCTTTCCTAAACTTTCTTTCAAACAAGGAAAATATTCTATAACAACATTAATACGTGTATTCTTTTTATTTCTTACGTTAAAATTTAGGCTTCACTTATCTAAAAATAAGGATCGTAACAATTGTTTGCTATAAAATCTAATATTTGTCTATCATAATAAATAATTTGCCGTTAAACCTTTTGAAGTGTGATAATAAATACATAGATTGTCGAAAATTAAAAAAAAATCCAGGCTATAAGTAAGGTGACTGTACAGCCCGACAAAAGCATTTAGGTGGCGGCGAAATGCTGAACTAAATATTTTCTACTTAGGAAAATCTGAAAATTGCCACTTTTTCGGCAATATGTGGCTTGTCACTGCTCAGGGTTGCCAGAAAGTCACTAACAACGCCCTCATTTACCCTATAATTTTTGTCGGGTTTTATTTTCCTAAAATAGAAAAAAGATTGTATAGCGAAAGAGAATAAGTCCGATGCCTTTCGTCAATCGGCCCCCGTGATGATATCCCTGGGCACTGCCTCGTGTACCCTTATTAAAGACGGTACTTAGTAAAGACGGTACTAGTGTTACCGCACATCTTATAACAAGAATATTTACACCAACAGATGCAGTAAAATGCATTGCCTATCAAAACCTCAATAAGCAAGTCTTACCCAACTTTTTATAACAACATAGATTCATTAAAAAAACTGAACTATATTCAACGTCCGAACGTAGCTGCCAGCTTCCTGGGCTTTCTTAAAGTGGAGTTAGAGTTCGTTGCATCCGTTTCAACAAATCTAAGAACGTTTTGAATGGTTATATGGTATAGCTAGAAAATAGCATGCCATGTGGCACAGATTGCAAGCTATAATATTTAACCTTTTACTGACATAATATTTTATCATCTCATGTGTAAAGTTAAGGACTTAGTGGAGAGCGTTTAGTGTGCATTACAGAGCCCGGACTAATCTAAAGGCAAAATACAAATAGGTTTTTAAAAAAAAAGGAAGAAAATAGGTGCCTATGGTAGGTTTAAAACTACTTACGGTCTTTGCAGAATTAGAAAAAAGAATGTTATTCTTACTTCCTGTCAAAAGTCCATCATAGGCCTCCTCAATAATATGACATAGCTACCATGCCTGGTAGACGTTTTGAAAACTGCAATTTTTATTATTTGTTTGAGTTTGAGTTGTTATCAGGAAGTTGCTGCTGCATATCTCCTGTCTGTATATCAATTACTCTGTATTTGTCTCTTTCGATTACTTTATATAGGAAATTCAAATAAAACCGGCCAAGTGCGTGTCGGGCCACGCTCAGTGTAGGGTTCCGTAGTTTTCCGTCCGTCACAATAAGTGTTCCCACTTATGAGTTTAAAGGTGGGTATCCATTATGTTCGCGCTCCAGCAGCGCTCCGCGCTCCTGCAACTGCTCCCGGCAGTGGGTAGGTACTATTGTTTCCATCCAAGTTCAAAATGATTTTCCTAGAAAGTCCTTATAAAGTTCTACTTTTCAGATTTTTTTTCATATTTTCTAAACTTATGGTTTAAAAGTTAGAGGGGGGGGGGGGACACATTGTTTTTTACTTTTGGAGCGATTATTTCCGAAGTTATGTACATTATCAAAAAATGATTTTAGTAAACCCCTATTCATTTTTAAATACCTTTCCAACAATATATTACACGTTAGGATTGAAATTAAAAAAAAAATCACTTCCCACTTTACATATAGGGGGGCTAACCTAATAAAAAAAAATTCCAATTTTTACCACTTTGTCGGCGTGATTGATACACATATTGGTACCAAATTTCAGCTTTCTAGTGCTAACGGTCACAGAGATTAAGCGAGGACGGACAGACGGACAGACAGACATGGCGAAACTATAAGGGTTCCTATTTGACTACGGAACCCTAAAAAGGAAAAGCGGCCCGATGCTCGCATTGCCTAAGGGCTTGGTTTATTATTGTTGTTGACTTGATCGGACATGACTAAATCCGACCCCGCAAACACGCGCTCTCCTATTGTACAATCACAGTTTCCTGATTAGTGGCCGCTTGTAATATATAAGCCAAGCGCGCTCCTGCACCGCACGCTCAGCCCAATGTACTCTAGAAACTTATAACTACAAAAGTAAAGAAATTTATTTTTTTTAGTCTACTACTGGGCTATGAACCTCGTTCATTTTAAGAAGGATTTGAACTCATTTTACGAGTAGCGATTAATATTTTACAGTTGACCGCTTTCTCTAGTTTCTAATTTGTTTCACACCTATAACGTATCTGGAGCACATTTATGTTCATAGCATATCGAGAAACGTGACGCAGGATGTTGATAACTTTCTGTACACTATCTTAAAACAAAAGTATCTAAATGTATATACTGTGTAAGTGTGACATAAAATTATTATTCACTGATCATGAAATTAACATATTTTCTCGTACATATCTGCACAAGAGTGACAAAAAAGTAATGTCGGTGTCTTACCGGCCAAAATTCCTTGGGATATCTACTGCACTCATCCGAAGAAGGATGATACGTCGTTTCCTCTTACTTTCTCGTATATCATTACTCAAGTAACGCTCCCACCTGATGGTTAGCGGTCAATGTTTCCAAAATTCCTTCGGTTATGAATAATTAAAATGTAAGAAAAATCGAGAAGATGCATGTAAGTGCAATGTCACCCCTGAAGATGAAGATACCATGTAAGTTATCGTTATACTACCATGACACTGAGAAATGAAGGGCTCCCTGTCTCTATGTCCAGCAGGCATCTTTTAGTTCAACATTTTTTCTTTCATCAACCCTGGATATATTTCTGTTAGGGTGTAACTTTAGAAACTAAATACAATAGGAACAATAGGACATCGACCTACATTGACACAGACCTACATCCATATAATATATTAATGGAAAAAGTAGTTTTCGGATAAAATATAAATAAAACTCAAAAATGTTTTTATCGACGTGTTTATTTATTTATTTCTTCTTTATAGCAATCCTTAAAACAATAGAAAATACAAAGGGCGGACTTAATGCTTTGAGGCATTAAGGTTATTCACTGTTTTTGCACGTTTCATAATTCATAATTTAAACCATAATTTTTTATGTATAACTATTAGACGTAAAGAGTTGCTATTATCAAAGGACATAAAATGTGATAATAATAAGAAATTAAATAATATATATGATATAAAATCAACGCATTAGGATAATAAAATGACGCAACAAATTTAGATAAAACATTCAAGTAATTGCGTGGCTACCCAAGCTACACGTATTTCCAACGCGACAGCTTTACATGATTATGTCGACGCAATAAAGTCAACATCACGACAGATCACGGACTTCAGGCGGAGTAAACAAGTCACTGTAATGATAAGACGAACAACGCCCGCCCGCCAACCAGTCGCGCGCGCCCGCCCGCCTTACGCGCGTGTCCGCTGAGAAATAATAAAAAAATAGTTTTTTGTTTACAAATTGTTACTAAACTACACGTTATCTTAAGCAATGGGTAAGATTTTATTTGTATTTTTTGATATAATAATTTAAAGTAATGTTTAGTCTATGCAGTTTTTGGAACTTCCGTTTTAATATAAATGTGACTTAATTCAAAATAGGTAGATTTATTTCACGAATTAATAAAATCTAGTAAGGCTATGAACTTTTATTGCTTTTTCGCTCTGAGCTTGATTTAAGTGATGGATGACGCCAGAAGCGTGATTTAGGTCCCACTCCAATCTATATAATGTAGTGTAAAGTCATGTGGAAAATATTTTCTTTTGCGCAACTGTTGCCCCTGAATATATTATAGAATTTTCAGATTATAATATGCAATGACTTTAGAAATTATTATACCAAAATTGTGAAGTTTACTGTTGTAAATTTTATCATAATAAATATACATAATATGTATATCGTAGTCCGATCATTAGAGTTAAGCAAATCGTAATAAGCCTGGGCATAGTTTTTATAATTTGACATATAATTTTTAACTATTACTTTTAACATCGTCAAAAATACGAAAACACCTATTGATGATTATCAACGACAGTAGATTGAAGTGTGGCTGGGGTGACCCAAGAGCAAATACCAACAGCCACGTAAAATATACAAATTAGTCACAAAGTGATATGGGAGATAAATTGTCAGTCAAATCATTAAATGGCGGCGTATCGTAAAATGCCCAGGCAGATCACAATCTGCCCAATTCTTCGATCGAACTACAAAATTACCAATTAATTTTGATCAAGCCCTCGTACATTTCCAAATAGAAAAGGAACTAATTTATAATAAGCAGAAGGAAAGAGAAACAGTTATATAGAAACATACTAATTTGCTCAGGTATATCTATATCTCATATATCTAACCTCAAATTCTTACATCACTCTTATCTCAGGTTATCCCTTGCACGGTAAATAGTTAGTAAATAAACAAATATAGAAATCGCCTGAGGAAGCATATCAAAAATTTCCCCTGTACAACATCCAACTCGCACAATTGACGTAGTCTATGAAGCCGGATCGATGTTATATTATTCCTATGTAACTAATTTCGTTATCGGGCAGATAAGCCATGGCGAGCGCGGAGTGAACTCAGTGGGGCACATTGGGACAGCGAATACGACCTTAAGGAGGAACGGCACAGAAATTGGAGTGAAGAATCCACTACTTCTTTGATGGAGAAGGACTTGGTTAACCCACAACCACGTGTGGCGATTAGCAGATGGGATGACAACGGCAATGTTTGGAGCGCTGCGTTAGGAGCCCTGGCTGGTGCCGGGACTGTCCTGATCTTTATTGCGATCTTATTACTGTGGAGAAAACCACGGAGGGTAGAGCCACCGACACTAGCGCCAATGGACATCGGACAAAAAGTGAGTACTCAAAAATTTTGTACACAATTAGAAAAAGTTACCATGTCCATCTTGTGTTAGTAGTAGTAGTAAGACGTCGTTTTGACTACAATAGTCAGATAAATAGATCGATAAGATTCAAAATCTTGTATAATTTATAGAAATAGGGATTTAGTGAAGTCGACAAACGACAACACAGTCACTTGTTGATAGTTGGATGCTGTGGTCCATAGACACCAACATCTATCGGCTGTTAATCATTAAAGTGCGTATGATTCACATTGATTCATAACAATTAAGATGGAATGCTTCGTTACCAAATATATAATATAACTCATCGCTTACCATACAAAACACAGTCATCTAAAGGTATGCTGCTATTTCACGCAGGTATTCTGTGAGAGTATGTTGGTTCCCTGGTCGAGCCGACTAACTCACGCTGCAGCTTTCTTACGTGGTAGAGCCATGCTGCAGTTATATTAGTAGTATAGTTGTAGCACGAATGGGTCGGCTCGACCGGGGAAGGACCACGCTCTCACAGAATACCAGCTTGAAATAGTAGCTTAATGCTGTTGTATTTCGTATGGTGAGTGTAGAGAACCGGAGACCCTTTTTACTGGAAATGAGGCATTCCATCTCAGTTCTCACGGGTGACAACGCATCTGCATTTTGATTTGTAATGGAAGATAGATGTAGATGTCTATGGGCCGCAGCAACCACTTACCATCAGGTGGACTGTGTGCTCGTTTGTCAGCCTATTCTATAAAAAAAAAAAAAGCTAAAATACGATATATAATACAGCTTCAGTGTGGTTCTGCCACATATTATAATTTGTAGCTACTTATTTGAAATGTATGTAATTTTTATCGATGTTATAAGATCGGACAACCAAACGCTTCGCCAGTTTCTATTCCGATTTTGACGACATACCGACATACGCATTTCAACCAAATGCTTTGTTTCGTCGTTCGAACAAAAAGTATTACGTATTCTATGGTGTTGCGTACTATATAGTAAAGCCACGCTGCAGCTATATTATGGTATATAGCATGAATGGGTCGGCTCGACCGGGGAAGTATCACGCTCTCACAGAATACCAGCGTAAAATAGCAGCTTAATACTGCTGTGTTTCGTATGGTGAGTGTAGAGAACCGGAGACCCGTTTTACTGTAATCGAGGCATTCCATATTAATCCTTAGGGGTGACAACGCATCGGCATTTTCATTCGTAATCGAGGTTAAATTCTGATTTCTATCTCAAATTCCACTTACCATCAAGTTCACTGTGTGCTCGTTTGTCACCCTTGTTCTTTAAAAAAACCAGCAATGACGTGAAATACTTTGCCAGCTGTCTTTCCTTACTTTCCTTTGAACCTGTCTTTCCATCCGATTACAATGTGTAAACCATGTAGTGATGGTGTAATGGTATCCATTAGCTACGCCATATTGTCTCTTGGATGTCGTACGACGCAAAGGAATCTGAAAGCATCCTCCTGATAGCAACTTAAAATATAATAAAAATTACTTCTATGAGGCAATCTATTTGGGAGGCCTATATTCACACGTAGACTTTTATAGGCTATAATGGATGGATACATGGACAATGTAGGTGTGTTCAAGTCAAGAGTGAATAGGTGAATAACTTACTGTTAGATGATATGCAAGTCATGCACTGGCTTATTGTTGTTTTAAAAAGTGTGTTTTAGACAAGTGACAGCAAACTTAAATACTACTGCTAGATACAACCGTTCTACACATATTTTATTAAAGTTAAGCTAGAAAGATTGCAATAAAAGGAATACAAATAACAAGTAAAACTCACAGATAAAAGAAGCTCATTGATCCCTTTTTTTGAATAATTTAAGTTGTCGGCTTGTAGCATGTAGGTCGATACCTATTTAACCTTTTGCGCGGTTATACCTAATATTTTAATAACTTGTAAATTTAAATTTAAAAACAAATAATTATTAAAAGAATGTATAAAATACATACAATGTATAAAACAATCATATTAAACAGAAATATTTAAGTGAGGATGCATCATTTTTAGGTTTCCGTACTTCAAAAACGCGACAGAAGTGAAACCTTCAAATGAAATGAGATATAAAATACAAATACTTTAAATGATTTATTTAATATTGTAATTTAAACTACAAGTTCGGAATAAAATATAAGTAAATTTAATTTTATAGTAAATAAATGTAACAATCAATCCATTTAATATATTAGACACAGATATTATATTACTCTTATCGATATACCTGATATAGTACTCACTAATTACAAAAAGATTTATATCAATATTACCTATTATGAGGTTTGACCGTTCTTCATTGCTTGTTTAATCCATAGGCACACACACTTTCGTACCTTGTTGAACAAAACGTTGAACAAAACGCGTAGGCGACGCTGTTTCGGCGGCGTTTACGACTTTTTTCTCGCGAGTATGGAGCTATTATCTATAATGCTTCCTGTCTAATTTTCTCCCACATTACATCTTATGAATTTATGTGTCTGTCTCTTTTTACTGTCGCTTTTTCGTTACATAGACTTTCAAATCACAACGCTGCTAAATAAGTTTTCACTTCAAAAACGGAACACTTATAGGATCACTTCGTTTTCCGTCCGTCTGTCAGACTGTCAAGACCCTTACTCTCAGGGATGCGTGGCGATAATACGTAGATCTACGCTCTAGATGGTTAGCGCTCGCTGTTAATTTTACAGTACGCGAGCAAACCGGGTTCGAAACCCGCCGGCACTAAAGAAATCGTTAATTGCAATTTTAAGTGCTCATTTACCACGCGTTCGGTGATGAAGGAAAACATCGTGAGGAAACCTGCATGTCTGAGAATTAAAAAAATATTTAGAAGACATCTGAAGTTCGCCAACACGCATTTGAGCAGCACGGCATTTCCTTGCCTTAAAAACCCTCTGAGAAATGATAGGAGGCATGTGCCCATCAATGTGACATATATAGGCTGTAACTTTAACTAACTTTAACGAGCTCTAAAAAGTCGTTTTTCGCCATTTATGTGACATATTTTAATACTCACAAATAAATCAAACTCTACAGAGCACTTCCCGTTGACCTGGATTCATAAAATTTGCCAAGGTTTAAAAGAAAGGTCTCACAGCACAAGTAAAGTAAAAAGTCAAAGAGAGAAAATTACAGTTTAACCACATTAAAAAAATACCATGACGTACCTGTATCAATGTATGGAAGAACATTTTTTCAACTACAAAGTTGAGTTTGTCCTTCAATTCAATCATCCGTAATGTTCGGCACTTTCATAGTTTACGAATTTCAGTAATGTTAGTTATTTTGGTAAAAGTAGATTTATTATACAGAGTTACTTTATAAAGAGTAGCCAAATTTTAAACTTAATTTCAAATATATTAATAATGATATACCGTTATTACAATTTTAAAAATACGGGTTAATAAGGCTTCTACTTTTATTTGAAATTATCCCAAATTGACATGATTTATGGACATCAACCTTTTTGTCTATCGATCGACCCTTACGAATGTCAGCGTGCGATGTAAAATCAGATGAAATAATGCATTACCATGTAAATATTTTGAATTTCAAAGATAAAAAGGATATTTAAGATTTTTCTTTACCATTTGCCTATATTACTTACTAGCTCTTACCCGCGGCGTCACCCGCATGGTCACTGGGCAATGAATTATCCATTGCTTTTTGAGTTGAAAGAAAACTGAGTTTTATAGATTTGTCAGAGATGCAGCCATTAAAATGAAACTGAGCAAAATTAATTCGTCTAGCCTATTTAAATGTTTTGAAACGCAGCGTATAGGAAAGCATGAAAATAGCCTGTTTATTCCAAATGGAAATGGGATATATTTTTAATTAAAGGAAACTGAGCATAATTATCCGTCAGGGATGCAGACTTTTGAAAAGAAACTGAGCTAAATTGTTTCGTCAGAGATGCAGTTTTCTGAATTGAAAGGAAACTGTACCAAATAAAAGATCCGTCAGAGATGCAGCCTTTTGAGTTGAAAGTAAACTGAGCTTAATAGGTCCGTCAGAGGTGCAGCATTTGGAATTGAAAAGAAGCTGAGCTAAATAGGATATTTTGAATTGAAAGGGAAGATCTGTGGGAATTCTGATTAATTGATTGTGGGAATTTTGGAAAAAAAACTAACTGAACACTATTTTAATACGCTACTGTACACAATGTTATATGTTTTTCCATTCGGGGAAAGAATGTGGAGATTCTGGCGAACATGCTACATACAGCTGACCATGAGAGAAGCACGGTTTTTCTAAGTTGACCCCCGCTACCTGTAACGTTTGCCCTTGCGCTTTATTAATTGTCATTGCAAAACTGAGCTTAATAGGGAACTGCAACCTTTGGAATTGAAAAGGAAGATCTGTGGAAATTATAGGGATCCGTGGTATAATAACATTTTCACCTTTTCATACGCCTGTGTCAAAATTGTAGCACCGATTATGTTCCGTTCAAGATGTGTCACACGCAGCCTTGTCCCGTTACATAACTGAGGAGCATCTAAATTTCGCATTAGCATGACTGGGACGCCTAATTTTAATTGAAGCTTATGTGAGGGCACACCCGACAACTCTAGAGAATTTAGAAACTCTACGGGATATGAAGTGCTCTGTTCTATGTCCATAACTGTGTCTACTGACAAATACTGTTGTCTGTAATTATTTCTCCTGCTACTTCGCTTAATATATCTGAATTTATTTTGTTAACGCTCTCATTTTTTGGTGCAAGAATTGCCCTTTCATATAACCATTTGTCTTCATGCATGTTGTTCGTTAAATCTGAATAAACGCTCGAAATTAATTCGGAATGACTCTGTACTAAATTACAAAAATCTATCGTCAATTTTACGTAGCCCTCAGCATCCGTTTCCAACCACCCATCGCCAATTTTTAATAGTGTGTCGGCATAGTTTCCAGCATTGATATCATTATACAAATGCACTCTCATATTCGTAGTTAAACTGAATTTTGTCACCTTGTTCCATAAAATAGACGACTTGAGGCATGCTTTAATTTCATCTGCAGGTGTGCCCTTTTGAATGACAGGTAAA